ATGTATAACAAGTTAAAACAAAGAAACTTCAGTATACGTACATGCAAGCATTAACCAAAGATATTCAAGCCTTGAAATTGTTCACAGAGTGGATCGTTTTTTTTTTTTTTTTTTACCTTCAACGCTATACTTCCAAAAATTATACTTCGTTTTTGATCTTTTGATAATCGCTCAGCTGTAACGGTGATTTATCAATTCAATGATCGAACGTAATATGGCCAGGTTTTCGCTTGTGGTTCATATTTATCTTTATTGATGTAGGTTTTAGCCAAAGCTCTAGACTTTGATCCCGTTTTTGGTTTTGTGGAAGTTTCAATTTGTTTCACGACTTGCACTGCATTGCTTTACATGTGCATACTTTTTGTCGTATGATTTACATTTTAATATTTCTCGGTGCGTACTACGTAATTTGATATACATTAATTTTTTGAGTTATGGGAAGTTATTAATCTCTCAAATTTCAAAAAATTATATTTGAAGAACTAAATGAAAAAGCAAAAAAAATTATATTATAAAGGAGAATAAAATGTTGCATTAATAACTGAACAAAAAACAATTATATCTAATACCCAAAAATTTCTAGTATCGAATTAATTAACATGTGAATTCTAGCATGGTGAATAAAGTTCGATTAATTTTTTATGTTCAAGATAAATATTAATTTATGGTTAGAGCAAATTGAGAAATCAAGGTATATTATAATGTTCATTTTAGATATAATTGCAGAATTATTATCGATTTAAATGATTCAAAAAATAATAAGAAGTTATAACGTGATTTATAATATCCGAGGGACTCTAGTTCTCAAAGTGCAGATCATTTCGTCAGCAATATCGATATTAATGGAAATCTCAAAAAACGAATTATCGTTATTTCAAAAATCCAGAGATCTTATTTAAATAAGATCAATCACCAGTACGAATCTTGTGGGTCAGGTTTGCTCATGTAGTGCTCCAATTTATTAACTCACTTTGGGGTTTTATGTACTTCATCTAAATGAGATCACTGGCTTTTGTGACATCGGGTTCCAAAGTGACAGATTCATTTTTGAGACTTCTGGTAATATTGTAAGGGTGGGTGTATATACCTTCAGTTTTTAAAAATAATTATTCAATGAACCAGTTTATAATAAATATTCTCTTATGTAAATACATTTCGATTATATAATACATATTCGATTATATATAATATCTTAAAATTATAATATTTATCAGTTATTATAAAAAAACCGAATCCAAAAATTTAATAAAAACTAAGTACATGTACAACTATTATAAATCAGTGAATCAAAAAAAACGAAGATCAATAATACATATGTAAAAAGTAATTAACTTATGTTATAAAGAATTCTTATTTATTAAAGAGAATATTAAAGAGATTTTAAATAATATGCGATCTAAAACTGATGCAATTAAAATTAATATTTCTTCGAAAAATAGAACAGCTTTTGATTTTAATACAATTTACAAAAATAATCCTTATATTTCTATATATTATTACAATAAAGATTTAACAATATTTATTGTATTTTCTTTTATTTAAAGTTTTTTGTAAGCAGAAACTTTGAATACAGTGATCACATGTCTTATTATAAAGCAAAGTTGACTATGAATATAGAGATTACGGGATATTTAGAAGCGAAGCGTTAAGAGTAGACGGGACGGGTACTGGCATAACTCAAAGCCATAGAAACCATTCAACATGGAAATGTATGACGGCATATGTAAGACACTAGGAAAATTTGAGGACACATCAAAATGAAACCTGCCGCATTTTTATTTGTTTTACTCATCCTATATCCTAAAGGAGTTTTTTCATTGTCGTCTGATCTTACTAATGCATGAAAAAGTTAATTGAGATACAGTACGTAATTTAAAATTGTACTTTCAATATTTAAACCTATTTATGCACGTGTAGGCAAACACAAATGCATACGAAAAAAAAAGTAAACATCGTATGCTTCAATTTACGAAAGGAAGTACATGTAAACAAAGACCGTTCAGCCGTATACTTCAAAGTTTGTTGGAACCTGCCATGTCGTCAATGTACAATATCATCAGTATATGTGCAAATCCCAAGGATCACTTTATGGAAATGTGATTACAGTTTAGATAATCAACTCAATCTTTTTTTTTTTCGATGCATGAGTTAAAGAGATTCTCGCAGGAATGAATATTTCTTTGTCGATAAAAGTTACCTTATCCGATCAGCATATTTTTCGTGCGTCTTATTGTTGTCATTTTCCACTCCTGGAAAGAGAACTGCACTGCATATAAAAAAGCATAAATTTGACGCGCGCGCGTTTTAAAAATTAATATTTAAACATGTGCATACAATATTAAAGACGACTATTGATGAAAAAAAAGGAAATTTTATTGAACAATTAAATTACTGAATAAGCTGTCTTTTCGTAACGGTAATTGACAACAATTTCTTGTAGACAATGGTGTGAAATCATAATAGCGATAGCGTAAGCAAAGTTGCATACTATGGGTATTTTATATATTGGTTAGAAGGTGGGAAGAAAATAAATGTCGTACCCTGTAAAAAAACCGTTTTTTACATACAAAAAACACCGGGTATGTTTGATTCTGTTTTAAATTTTCGGAATTTTTGAAATTCATGCATGTATCTCTTGCGTCATCAAAGTCTGTGATGTTGTGTCAGGTTACAGAGAAATTCGATTAGGTCAGGGAGTTAGAACTAGATGTATCGGTATTCGTATAAAATTGTCTTCCCATAATTTTTTTATTACTAGATTTAAGCATTCACTTGTTTTGTCAGGTTGATCAAAACTTTACACATTTTCATTGGCTTGTGACACACGTGCCCTTTACTTTAATCAACATATTCGGCGGCGTAACCTGAGACACATCTAAAGACGTGCAATAAATCATATACTGTATAACTTTAATCCTTTATGTTGCGCAACTTACAAATCGAGCGGGAAAACTTAGTTCAACCATGATAAGTTATCAGACTAACTCTTTTAGTATAAAAGATAGATCCAGATTTGGTGCATCATCCCGATATTCGATATTTGATTACCTATCGACTTATTGTATACATTCATTGATTCCGGTTTAACCGAGTTTTTTCTTTATCTCGTAATAAAAATGGATGAATTGAATAAAGATCTTAGTTTCTTTTCATATGCTAAAAAAAATTAAGCCTTAATTTACATGATGGGAGATAAAAAGATTCTCTGAAATCTAGCGGTGAACATTTGTGGGGTAAAATGTGCACATGTGTATGTAATAAAGAACTTGAGAAGATCAGGAATTTTTTTTTAAATGACATTGTTCTATTGCCGCAGCACGTGAAAATAATTAATGATTCAAAATTTTTTAACCTTACATGTGAAAGAACGATTTTGTCTTGTGTTAACTAAATAACTACTAGACTTTTGAGTGAGCAGATCAAAAAAGTGAGCTGATCGATTAAAAACGGCTAAGGTTTCTTTACACTTTTCAAGTTAAACTTGTTTTTATCGTCAGTCTAGAAAATACAACTCATAAACACAAGCACACACAGACCAAACCATGCAAATGAATATAAAAAAAAGTGTAGGATCCGGGTAATATTCTATCAAAATTCTGAGAAAAAAAAATTTTTTTCTTTGTTTTCTATAATAAGTTCAAAGATAAATTTTAAGCTATCTGACATAAATTCAATTTCCACCTCACAATGCAAATTAATGCATTTTCCCACGTAAGTATCGTAAGATACACAGAAAATGATATTATTATCGTTATTGTCGATTTAGCACAATATTAAGATCAGCATCGAACAGTTTACAAGAAATCAGGGTACGTCTTAACGTTAATAGGAAATAGCATAAAGCGAGGAACGCAAGTGAAACAAAAATATTTGTCTGACGTGATCTATAGCGTTAAAAAACACCAGGAAAAATATGAATAGCAATACAGATAATAACATTTCGGAGCGGAGAATTAAATCAATATGATCGAAAAAGAATCGGAACATTTATCGTTATGGCTCCACATTCCTTTTTTTGGATACTTCACGATTTTATATAGGGAAAAGCGAGCTTAGTGTCTTCTTCTATTGATGTATGCGTGGATGCATCAATGGATTTACATGTAGTGCATGTGTTTCAAAAAAACTGCAACAATGCACCTAGTCTTCAACTATTCATAAACTATTCAATGATTATTTGGCTAATGTGCATGACCCAGAAGCAGCGCCCAATCCTAAATAAAATGAAATGCATTTTTTGATAATATTTCGCCGATCTATTGTTTTTTTCGCTGACAGGGTAATCATTTATTACAAAATATGGGAAAATCAGCAAAATTTTATAAACGTCAGGTAAAATAAATATATCTCTGAATTTACTTCTGTTTTATGGGAATAAATCGAACTTTATTTTTAATTAAAGACTCGAAAAGAACGAAAGATCCAATCACTTACTGCAGAAGCACTAGGTTCATCTTCATCCTTGCCTAAATCATCATCTATCGCTATCACCACGAAATTCAAAAAAACATCGTCAAAAAAGTCCACTTTTACTTCATCTTCATCATCCAAAATCAAAGCCAATTCAATAAAGACGCATCGGGACGAACTTTTAAAGTCTATTCTAAAAGGATCGGAAGTAAAGTCCCAGGATAAAATCACGACAAAGAATAATCACGATGACAGCGTGAAACAAGATCAGATGGATGTAGATGATAATAAAGGTGGCAAAAAGAAAAAAGAGCGAAGAAAAACCAACGAAGGGAGGCCGGATTATGTAGACATATTTGGGGGAAAGAAGACCTTTAAAAAGATTTAGGCGTGCAATTTTAATTTGTTGTAACAATATTTGACAGTTAACAGTTATATGTAAATTCGCGCACATTCAATTAAAAAGTTTAGATTCAATCAGTCAATAGTCAGTCAAAAGACTTAATTTATTTTAAATCATTTAAAACTCTAATGTGCTCGTGTGTGTATTAATGTACGTGTATATATATATATATATATATGAATAAAATGAAATACTATTATTAAAAACTTGGCAGGAAAATAATAATAATATCCAATTTTTTCCTAATGAATGTACGATGTATAAATGTAAATGTATGATATTATAAGAAAGGGGTTTAAGTTTTTTTTGATTGCTCCATTAACGAAAGACGCACACATACTAACAACAAGAAACCATAATCGTGACTTGGCAAAACACGAGCATGTGTCTGTCGTATGAATGTGTGTGTATGCTAACTATCGTTAATAGACCATCGCTATTTTCTATTAGCTGTATATGTGTGTGTAGCATGTTTATAGACCATTAATTGTTTTTTCAAACTTTTTTTTAGTCTTCATTTTTATCATTTATATTAAAAAAAAAAAAAAGGAGGAGAAAGAAATAAATTTAAAGAAGAGAAAGAAAATGTTGTAATTAGTCGTCGTCGTCATTTTTTTCGAAAAATAATGTTCACAAGGGAAGAATATATATGTGAACAGATATTTTACAGAGAGGTATCTATTATATTACAAAAGAGTGAAAAGGTCCGGATGTTATGTTCGAAGTATTTATATTACAAAAATTGGAGTTGATGAAAATTTAAGGTTTAAGAGAGGTGATTATTTAGGAAAAGAGAATTACATAATTACAAGAATTAGCAGACTTTTTTTGTTTTATATATAAGAAGGGTTGAATTTCTCAGTTTGTCAGGTTATCGGTTACTTATGAATAGTTATTATTATACGTATTAGTGTGTGTTCATGGGATGCTTGCTTAGGTTAAAAAATCTTATCCAATATTATCTTAAAAAAAATATATGTCTTGTTATAGTGATAGTTATAATCTGGTGGTTGCTTAGAATTAATTCTCTTTAAGTTCCTCATAAGCATTAATGAAGTGATCAATTGAAAAGATGAGAATTTTCGCCGAACGTCCCTTTATTAATCTCCAAAGCTTGTTCATTTCCAGTAGAGCAATCCGATCCCGGGATTTCGATAGGAGCACTGGTAGAATAGTAACTGTTGGAATAACAATCATCTTCAGTATCGAAATCGGTGGTAGTGGTGGTTGTGATCTTGATATCATAGAAATCATCATACCGTCTTGACAAGAGTTGCTGATGACGTTGATGCAATTCATATTGGCGATCGATTGTACATATACTTGAAAGTGACGAAGATAAATTAGAGGAATACGAGGACGCCGCTGACGAAGGAGGTGAGATCATTTTCATATTATTATTCTCATTAATGTTATGATTATATTTTGAATACTGATATTCCTCCTCAGGAAATACCGTTGTTGTCATTGCGAGCGAAAATCGATAGTTGATATTGAGAGTTGGTGATGTTGGCGTTGTATCTGTTGATTGACATTCCAATGAACAATAGAGCGAGTCATTGTCAAACACCTGTTTACCACATCCGCAAATACACCAGTTACAATCCATTTGGTTAGAGAAAATAATGAAGAAAAGAGAGGAAAAATGAAAATTCACGTGATATTGATAGCGTATATTGAGAGATAAGTTAATGACTGTTTAAAACTGAATTTTTTTGGGAATGGGGGATTTGTTTTATTTATATAGCAAATTTTTTTTGTAGCGAATTTTATTATATTTGTTGTATATCAAAATATATATATATATCAAAATATATATATATAAAAAAAATTTTATAATAAATATATATAAAAATTTTTTTTAGATTAATATTATATTATATTTATTTATTTATTTATTTATTATGCATGCGATGTTGCCCTTTATTGTTTTGTGTTTCTTATTGTACTTGATTTTTTTGATTTATAGCATTTCGTTTCATTATTTACAGTATCCTATCAACCTTCGAACCAATTTTGATGAAGATGGCTGCGGAACTTATACTACAATCTGGTCATGGCGTGAACTCATGAACTCAGTTTCTTTCTATGCGGCTCGTTGTTACGAGCATGAATGTAAATTAGAATATTTATCACGCTCAATTATTGCACAATCTTGAAGTGTAGATTCAATATTGGCAGACAAGAAAATTCGGATTTTATGAATAGGGTTATTTTTGGAATATCTTCCGTGGAATTAACTTCGCTTGGTCCTACTTTCCAATGATTTTTTGAATGAAACATATGATGATAATTCAGCCAGAATTTTATGCTGATGGGTTTTGATTTAGAGCGAGGCAAAAAAATAAATGCGTAACCAAATTTTTTATGAAAAAGTACTGGCCACATTTAAGTATATTTTCTGATAACACGGAACTGAAGACCTTGTTGAGTTGATGCGAGACGCCTTGAGCCATGACATCTATGCCGAGCAGCTCTACTTCCTGGATTATAATTTTAACATTTGGTTTAAACATTAGTTTAAATCACATAAAAGTTGAATCTTAATGCAAAATGATTATTCCAGTCTTCTAAATTTTCTATATGAGATTGATTATTATAAAATATGCCATTTTTAAAAGAACACAGCTGAGCCAGAAATCTTATATAGAGTGTTCTTATAAGAGATACGACTGTAAATTGTAATTATAATTTCAAATTAATAAGAGATATAAAAAATTTTTCTTTTGAATTATTAATATTTAATAAAACATTTCAAATTTGAATAAAGTAAATTTATATTTATAATGAAACACAAACCAATGATTATTTATTTTTATAAAATATATCTTTTTTGTATATCTTTTTTAAAGATTTTAATATTTACATATATGATATTATTTTTAATAAATTTAAAATAAAATCATTTATATTTATTTATATGTTCGTGTTTATACTTATTAATGATAATTTTTTTGTAAATACATAATTATAGCAAAAATTTTATAATAAATGTTATTATAAAAAGATATTTGATTCTTAAAAGGTATAATTATAGCAGAATTTAAGAAATTATAATATTATGACTATATTAAATTTTATAATAAATACTTAAAATTTATGTAGCATCAATATGAATATAAAAAAGATAATTTTATAATTGATAAGCGTAATTTGAAAAATCTACCCGGGTAGATTATTATATTTCGAATAGCCTTTTAATAATATTCATCTTTCATCCTAATATCTTCTGTTATCTTATAAAGTATGAAAATATTATATTTTTTTATTTCCTAAAATTAGATTTTCGTTAAGTATTTTTAATAAAAAAAAATCGTTAAATAATCATTTTTATAAAGTTGAATTACGGAAATTTGAAAGAAACGCTTCAAATTATAAAAAGATTACATTCCCAATAAATTATTTATTAATTCTTGAGAGAGCTTTATTTAGATAATTTTTTGTATTAGTTATTCTAAAAAGATACGTGTAATGGATTTTTTTGTAAATCTACATAATTATTAAATAACATTTAAATAGTGCATTTTATATATTATTTAAATTATATATTATTAATCGTACAAAGTATTTATATATTGATTCATTAAGTCACTATAACTTTAAAAACACAATAGAAAATTATTGATATTTGTTTGTTGCTGTGTTGCTAATGCAATAATTTTCCGGATTTGCCTACGCAATTTTTGTATTAAAGTTTTTTTTTTATTAAACTGCTTGATATGTATTTGTATGTATCAGTTTTATTTATTTGTTATAACTCTTTCAAATTATCAATACATGCACGGTCTGCTATTATAAAATCTATTTTATTAAATTAGCGCCATGCAATAAGTATTATTACGCCTACAGTAACAATCAAAAATGTACTTTGTCTGATACAATTATTGTTTTCGTATGTGTTTGTATTAGGTTTATTAGTAAATTGTTATATTGAGCGAGATTTATTACGGCTGTTTGAACCTTTATCCGTATATCGAGGCTAATTAGTCTCCGATATATCGAGAGTCAGTATTCATCTTTGGTCTCTATTATTTATTATCAAAAAAATTTGCTTCAGTGATTAGAATTTTTACAAGTTTATTAATAACTAGTGTCAGAAATGAAAGACTTTAAAGTATGTAAACTTCACATAACGATAAATGTCTGAAGTGATGATACATGTATGATTATCTTATCAGGAGTAAATGCAGATTTCAGCTGATGGAATCTACGTTTCAAAAGATTTTTCTTTGATAAATAGTTTTTGGTATGGATTATCCTCTATTGTATGAGTATAAACATTAAACTTCAATAAGTTAAATATCTTTGCAATTAATATTAGTTTATGTCTACTGTATTAATATATAATGATTCAGTTATGTAATATAAGACTTGTATTTTTCTTGAATATCATGCAGGTTAAAAAAGCCTCAGTTTGTAAATAATAATGTTGTCGCTGCATATTGATGAAGGATATTACTAAATGGAGAAATGAAAGATTGCAGGTGCAACCAAGAATTAATTTCATTAAATCATTGGGCTTTTGATAAATCAACGCCTATGGTATGGAAAGTAGCAGCAGATGTTCATAAAGTCATAAAGCTGTCAATTACTATTAACCCTCTTTCTTAACGAATTTTATCAAAAATTACATAATGACTTAATAATTATTCTAGCAGAATAGAGTGAATTAGTATTTTGTATATTTTTAAGCGCACTAAATAATAAGTTTTTTATTGAATAATGCAAATAGAATTTTCAAAATATCGCCGATAAATAATGCATGCTGACTTTAATCTGGATAATTTCTATAGTCATCACGTGTTTTTGAGATTTGGGGCTGTGTCTTGCTATTGTAATAATCTTATCCGTCTGCTCGTATTATATTGGCTAATTGCAATCGGAACAAAAGCATATCGATATGCATAAGCATAAGCATGTGCATAAAAAATTCAGTTTCAGCAATAATAAGAATAGGAATAATAATGGAATGTCGTCGTTGTCAAGTACCAGCTTTACTATTAAACGTAATAATTTTCCATTGAATGATAGTGAATTTAAGGTTTGGGCTTAATATTTTATTCACGTAATACAATTAAGTTTCCGTATGTGATCATGTTTGAGTACAGTATCGATATATACTTATCAATATAGGTATGTACAGTATGAAAAAAAATACAGATTTGTAAGACCATTCACAAAGAGAGATAGAAAAAAAGAAAGATATATACATATATAATGATGACAGTAATTGAACACGGTGTCTCTCAAAAAACTCGAAACACACATATCAAAGATCCCATGTAATTAGTGTTTCATATGCACTGTGATAATGCGAAATTGGGATTTATTAACAAAATCAAAAGTACAAATTTTGAAATGTATTTTGCTAATATATGTATGAAAGATTTTCGACACGCATGAGAATTATCAGAAAATAAAGTTTTATTATGTTCCCAATCAAGGTGTTATTATCTTGAAGCTTTCAAACGACTGCATTTGCATCTCTCCATTTAACATGGAAGTTCCTTTCAGAAATAAACAAAAGATGGAAAAGAAGTCAAAGAAATTGATAATCATTCAATATTTATATTAGTTAATTTGATAGCCTGCCTGAGTATAACTAGCTATCTTAAATAAGTATAATTAATGATGTATATGTATAGTGATAAGAAAGCACATAACAAACAATAAAAGAGCTATGCTTAAAAGAATTTTGCAAAAAAAACAAATACATTAGTCATACAAACACATACGTATATAGATACTGTGCGTGTTTTTGCTCTTGGAACAATCTTGATACAATAGAAATTTACTTTTAAGCTAATTCAATTTTAATGATACGTGTTACAATTAATAGGATTTAAACTAAACTAATTAATTAATTAATTAATCAATAGATAGATAATAACAATAAACAAGCCGTAAATTATTACATGTACATTGCAACAAGAACAAAGACCCGATTGTTTATGTTTGTTTCTTGTGAAAATGATATATACGACTACTAATGTAAATATTTTGTATTTTAGTACAACACTTGTCCTGACATATTGGGTAAAACTTAAGACTAAGTTTGTTTATTTATATTGAGTTTGATATCTGATATCTGATATCTGTACATATGTATACTGTATACAAATTTCCTTGTCATGCAAACATCTCAAAAACAAATAAATTAAATTAATTTCTTTTTTTATTAAAAATATCAATTACAAGCAAGAATTGATATTAAACAGTTTAGCACGAAATTTCAATAATTTGTGCAATGTATGAAAGGTCATTGTACGTGGATTCTAACAAAAATATTCGTTATCATATTTTACAGATGGTAAAAACCGTTTTATACTACATACATGCATTGAAAATGACGATAGTTACCAAAAATGGAATAATTTAATACGTAAAAATAAATATTTTGTAAGCACTATCGATTTACTGTATGTTAAATTCAGAGGTTCAGTAAAAAAATACACAAACAAATCATAAGTGAGATTAATCTGAGATTTTATTTAAATGACCCATATCATGATTTAAATTAATTATCAATTCTAATTAATAACAATAACATGGTTAGTGATCTAATAAATCAACGCAATAATCAGAGAGCATAAAGATTTTATTTAAATGACCTTTAAATTAATTATCAATTTTAGTTGATCTATTAAATCTACACAATAAGTAACAGGCCATAATTTGATTAACAACTGAGATGTTAATGGATAAGAAAGAACGGCTTTTTGTACAAATTTGTATTCCCTTCTTTCCGTTATTGTTCAAGCTCCTATGTATAAAAGACCTGAGTAAACTCATGGAAGACCCGAGTCTGAGTAAAAGCATCAATGAACCTAACCTTAGAAGATAAAATAGTCGATGAAAGCAAGATTCTCGTAGAGAGTAGCACAAATTGCATATACAAAAAAAGGAAAGGAGAAAAACAATGGGTCCGAAAGAAAAGCACGGTTTATCACGAGAGATTTTGTTGATTATAAAGCCCCAAACGCCATTTAGCTACATTTCATAATCATGCTGATACCATGAAATGGACCCTACACCATATTTTTTTTAGAAGATAGGTTGCACAGCGCGCATTTTGCCTTGCTTTGAGAAACAAAGCTTAGAAAAGGGTAAAATGGATTTCAAGGATTTTGGGGGTAACACAGATTATGTCACGAAACAAGTTACTTTGAATAATACATGTAATTTCTATTATATCGGTGAGCCCTGATTTTCTAATATCAAATAAAAACAGACTAGATGATTAATCTGTTCAATGATTGAGCGCAAAAAATAGAAATATTTCACATTTTTCCAAAGTTTGTTATTACGAACCTTAAAATATAAAAGTTTTTCGAACTAGTCCCAAAAAATTCATAATAATACATGCAAAAACTCATTATGTAATGAGTGTATCCTGAAACATTGTATGGTGATAGTTCTTATTGGTGAATTATTTTTCAAACACAATAATACTCTTTATCTTCTAATCTTAAAGTGCATACATGTTATCAGTTATATAATTAAAAACATAACCGATTCTTTAATAACTTAAACATTTTAATGTTATACAACCTCAAAAAGCACATGTCCAACTTAAAACATAAACATTCTCCAAATATGATTAAAACACTAAATAGTGCAATGAAACCGCTAACCTTATAATGTCAATAATATGCCTATTTTAGTGAATAGATGAATGAAAACTTACGTAAAAGTTTATACAATCATATTCTTTAATTGCTATGGCGCATGATAATAGAATGAAAGGCGTGATATGTATTTCAATAATTACTTCTTTTATTCTTAAACCATAAGTAGGCATATGTGCAACGATTACTTCAATCCAGGTCGACAAATGTTACCATATTTTAGCGATCCGGAATTATGTCATATCCCGGAAAAATAGCTTCCTTTTTTAGATAGAATGTCCGTTTACTTACGTATTTTTTTTTTCTAATGTAAAGTGATCCTACATCAAGCTTTTTGCACTTGATGTTTTATAAACAGGAGCCGAAATAGAGTGTCATTCACAACTTACGCAAGATTTAGCTGCTAATTATTTCATGTACACGTGGAAAAACAGTTATATGAAATTATTTCTGCACACGCGTAAAAAATCATAAAATTAAGTTTCATTTTTGAGATTACCCAAATTTCACGTTCGATGATGATGCGCGAAGCGAGTAAAGCACAATTAATCATGAATTTCTAATGCATAACGATAAATATACATCTTTAACATTAACATATACATGTACTTTCGCAATAAAACTGTAATGCACAAATATTAATACGCACATGTACATGTAATAATAAAATTTTTGGAATTTGCATTACTTATTAATTACTAAACTTGGTCTTTTTTCATTTTTAATACCGCAAAATTACTATAAATGGTGATATTATACTGATGCATTGCATTACACTGCATGACATAGTATCGTGTATGCGTAGAGTTTACAATATTATCGTTATTTTCATTTCACCGGCAAGTCCATCATTTTCATTAATTAAAAAATAATTCTGAAATCAAAACGCATAGTTTTGAGAAAGGGTTGAAACTGATCATTTTATGCTACACATATCAAGACAAAAAATCAAAAAAATAAAAATAAAATAGAGGATTTGAACTATAGTTCTTTAAAAATATTCATATTCATCCGACTAAACCAAAGATCCAGTAAATATATTGACAGCCAATTTTATCGATGAACAAATTTTTTTGCATTAGAAAATAATGCATCCTCATATATTGGGATTTGACTCTAGCGATTGTTGGCTAAACGCATAAATATTTAATATATGTCGAGTATTATCTATTTTAGAATAGAAACCCTTAGTTTTAGAATAATTCTAGATAGGAAAGAAGATATTTCGTTTACTTTGGTCTTTGTTTGGAAATACGTATATACAAAAGGCAGACTATCATTTTCTCACGCTTATCTGACGATTATTAATTACATGCATAAAATACGAGTATTTAAATTTGATTTTTCTGTTCAAATAGCGCTTGCCGTGTATGTATGAATAGAGAAATCTGCGAACTGCATGTATGTTGCAACAATGGAATCTTTTTAAGCGCACATAATAAAAGATCCGTATCTCGTTGAAATATAACATGACATTTAATAGGCCAATCGAATTAGTAGTTTCTGTAGAAGATGCTGCACCCTAATTAATTACATTTTCGGCTCATGAAAGATAATTTTCAAAACCTGTTTCCTATCTTTTGCAGAATGCATCCTGCAGGTAGTTTTTATCTCGCACGGTCAATTCCGGTTAAGTATCATTTGATTTTTAGTTAGAAATTGATTTTAATAAAATAGAAAACAATGAAACCAGCAAGATGAGGTGAAATCGTTGGTGAATGTGTTACTCATGTACAGTACATTCATTCTTACTATCCTTGGATTGACTCTGGAACGAGTTTGTTATTTTCTGCCCAAAATGTGCATTATTATTGTTGATAACGGTCGGAGGGTATACGTACGTACTGAATGAAAACTTTCATATTGCTATCGGAGAATAATGAATGTAGTTACCCGCGCCATGCAATACCGTAAAAAGGCGCCAATTTTTTTTCAGTCGTGTGATTTATATCATTTTGTTGCCAAAAATACAGGAATTATGCTTATTCTTTCTGCAAAAAAAAGACAAAGGATTGTAATATACTCTTTTCATTGTTTCCTAATTATGGCTTAACAATGTTGAGCTTGAGTTGACTTGCTGTTGTCTTATTTTAGAGTTGACGATCTACCAAAATCCTAAAAAAGGAAAAACAGTCAGTGCAGTCAGTCTACATTTTATTGAGCAAACACGATCATTGTAAAATTGACGCAATGTCCCGTATCTTTTGTTAATAGCTTGTTCACCAAATTAATAAACTTTTTGGATATTCACGAGACCAGGATTTTTTTACCTTTTCTTATCGGGGATATATTTTGCCGTATCAAACGTAACCCTTTGTTATTCATTACGTATACAATAGATAAGGTAAATCGTAAATCAATTTATTCTTTGTAAACATCGGATCTGGGTCGTATCTTTGCTCAACCGGGTGCGTATCGCAGACTGGTTATTGATGCAATTTGGATTGACTTCATCTCATGTTTCCAGGTAACCACATTTGATCGCATGACGTTGCATTCCAGAGTCAGAAACACTTGTCGCGCCACCAATTTGGTACAACGTCACCCAGGTCAAAAACTATGTTGATGATATATGAAATATATCCAATCCTTACATGAATTATAAATAACACACATCTAAGCACAAAATTTCTTCCATCTCTTCGCATACAGCGAGCGCAGATATTGCTTTGTGACCCATTAACCATGTTAAAATATTCTATTTTAATCGACAGCCGTCTATTAAGGCGCGTTCGTGAATTTATACATGCATGCAGAATTCGTCATGTTAGAATAAAAGCAAGATTTATTGATTCTGCAGGTTTATAGATTATTCCGTGCTTGAATAAAAACTTGGCACTCTCATAATATTGTAACAATCAATAAAGAACCTAAAGAATCTTTGTCATATCTTTTTGTTTCACCATTTTTTGTAAGTTTATCGATATCGATATACATGTATGTCGCGTTATTACACATAAATTTATGTTACATAAATGTATCATACAAACAAAAAATAAAAGATCGAGTGGTACTGCAGATTTAGTGCAATCTTCATCATAATCATCATCATCATCATCATCATCATCATCATCATCATCATTATTATTATTATTATTATTATTATTATTATTATTATTATTATTATTTGACAATGCCAAATTCCTTGTGACCTTTGATAATGTAAAGATTTTAGAACTGATCAATTCTTTTTGTAATTGACATTGTCAAAAATTTGACAATGCCAAAATTCCGTAGAATGTAACAAAAGGGAATAAGTTGTAGAAAGACATGAGGAGATTAACATTTAAAAGAGCTTTCCGATGCTAGGAATGCTAAAGCAGCAATCAAATATTTAATGATAAAAAACATAAACTCAACCTTTACTTGTTAATTATTTATTCCTTTTGATTGATATTGTGAAGGACCTTCATTCTAAATAAGTCATACTTCGATTTTGATTGTGTTGGCAGAAAATAAGTCAACTTTATACACCGTGAAGAGTGTATTTGATCACTTTGTTATTATTATACAGGTTAAAGGAATAAGTCTGTTTTTGGTTAGCAGAAACCATCAGAGTTATATTAGTTGAAAAGCCCCTTTTAAATTCTTATCTTTAGGTTGATTTGAGTACAAGTCACCACAGGAGACCTTTAGAACTACAAAGAAACCCTTTGTTCGCAAATAGTTCAATCTAGCCACACACAATGCTATGATTACGCTTAATTTTTGAGTGAAAATCATTCTTTTTGATAAAGGAATGATAATAAAAATTCTCTAATCATAAAGTAGTGTAAATTTTGAAGATGTTCACCGAAAGAAAAGTATACGTCAAATCAAATCTACCTGCAATAGAATATGAAACGAACATTACTTGATTCGGAAATCTAAAGAATATGAAAATATTACTTCTGTAAATATTCCTTTCTGTGACTTAGATCTTTTGTTTATTCTTTATTTTGTTTGTTATAATTTATAGAAATTTAACTAAATTTCAATGATAATTTAAGATTTTGCCCAGATCCCTTCGCGCTTAAAACAAAATTTAATCTATTTCAGATGCTTTTCTATTGCAAATTACGATATCGAAGTATGTTGGCAACTGGCTTCGCAAAGGTTTCGGATATGAAACGTAAGAATACCAATAAAATGAACGCATAAATTACATGTAATATTTCATTTTTAAATTTTAATTCAATTTGATTGTTTTAATTAGGAAGTTGGAAAATAAGAACATTCGATATTCAAACGATAAAAGATAATTATTTTTAAGCATGAATTAAAGATCCAAAATTTGTTAATTGAAAGATTAAAAAATTTGCATCCATAAAATTTCTGTCAATACTAAGCAAAGCGTTTTTTATTAGCATAACTTTTTTCCCAGCAATTATACAAATCATCATCAATTGAGGCACTGATTGAGATTATATTAAACAATGGAGATATCTTCGCGCGTTATCGCTTACAGCGCTTAATCACAATTGCTTGAGCAATTGTGATATTTGTATGATATCAAAAATGGATTTTGGAGGATGATAATCGTTAAAAATTTATTTTAAAAATTAATATTTATAATGAAAATATTTAAGTTCTGAATCAACAAAGCGAAATTATTGATATAATACAACATATACACCCTTAATTTATTGTAAAATCAAAAATATAGTAAAATGTGAAATTTTCTCTATATATAAGTTTTTATTTTTATGTCATACCTCTCTATAAGAACGTGGTCGGGAGACAAAAAATTTGATTTATAAAATTTATAGTTATGTTCATATAAAGAGGGAAATTTTAATACATTTTATAGCAAGCATGTTTTTGAAAAACTTGATCTTATAAATAATTTGTTTTTATATAAAGTGTTCTTATAGAGAGATGCGATCGTAATATAGCTTCATATATGTTTTTAAATTTCGCTCTATTGTAAAGTCGCCGAAAATTTTTTTCTAATTAAATTTGTATTTAAATCAGAAGAATTTTACGATGACTTTTGATTAGAGCAACTTTTCAGAAACTTTAAAAAAATATGTGAAAGTGAAATTATATTAATTTGATATAAAATAAAGACTTTTATATACTATATTTTACTATGTTTTTTTGATGTTCTGGTAATTTATGTAAAAAATGTATAAATTTATATTATAGTTCAAAAAAGAAGCAGGAGACCAATTAAAATATAGTACAATATGAAAACTTCTCTCTGTATTAAATTTTCAATTTTATTAATAGATTGGTTTATAATTTATAGTTTAGCATATATTTTTTCAAGAAAAATTCTAATTGTATATGAAGTGAGAAAATTTTTATATTTTAAATAGTTAGAACTTTTTTAAGAAAAAATTTGAAGATTATAAGCCATATTTTTATGTAAAAATAAAAATATTTATATATTAATAGTTAAATCTAATTCTTAAGTAAAATAAAAACTAATTTTCTAAAAAATCAAATATATATTTTTAATAAGATTGATTTTTGAACCAGTTCAAAAATATAATTCAATTTATAAAATTAAATTATTAATAAAATTTTTATTCAAGCTATTTAAAGTTAATTCTAATTATTAAATAAAAATTATTATAAGTTTAAAATAAAATTTATAAATAATATAAATTATAATAATAAAATTTTTTGTAACTATAAATATATTAATATTAAAATAATATAATTATAATTATTTATTTATTATATCATATATTTTATTTTAATTATTAATTTAATATAATTTAATAAAAAATTATTTATAATAGTTCTTTAAATAATATAAATTTTTTAATTTTCTTTTAATTTTTAAATAAAATAAAACTGAAAAAAATTCAGATTTTTTCTTTTTTAATTTTTCTTTTATTTTAAAAATTAAAAAAAATTAAATTTTTTTGTTTCTCAATTTTCTTTTATTTAAAAATTAAAAAAAAATTAGAAAAGAATTAAATTTTTAATTTCTTTTATTTTTTAATAAAAAAACTAAAAATAATCAAATTTTTTTATTTTTAAAAAATAAAAAATAAAAGATAATTAGATTTTTTATTTTCTAATTCTTTTTTATTTCTTAAAAATAAAAAAGAATTAAATTTCTTATATTTTTATTTTTTTATTTTTAAAAATAAAAGATAATCAAATTTTTTTTATTTTCAATTCTCTTTTATTTTTTAAAATAAAAAAAATTAGATTTTTAATTATTTTTTATTTTTTAATTTATTTATATAAGAATATTATTATAATAATTTTGATTAAATTATCTTTTTTTAATCTAAATCTTTATTTATACTATCTATATAATAGATTAGCTTCTATATTACTTTTCTTTAAAGATTATTTTCATATTAAATATATAAATAATTATTCATATATTTAATTAATTAGACTTATTATATTATCATATAGATAATTACTATATATATTCTTATTATTAATTTAGATAATTAATATTTTTTATTAGATTTTTTTAATATTTTTTTTATAATTTTATTTATTCTTATTTATATTATTTATAATTTATTAAATTATAATTAGTTACTTTCTGAAAATACAAATTAAAATAATTAATTCTATTTAATTATATATATTTTTATTAAATTAATTATTTATAATTTATTTATATTTTATATTTACTTCTTTTTATAAATATATATTTTTTATTTTATAATTTAACTTTAAATTTAAATACTATTTAAATAGTAAAAATCAAAAATATTATTCAAATATATAATTATAAATTTATTTAGGTATTATAAAATATATTATTCATCAGAATTATGAAAGTAACTGATATATTAGTAAAATCAAAAGAAAAAATCAAGAACTTATAATATCTATAGTAAGTTTTAAATACTATTTTATATAAATCTTCTTCTGTAATATGAATTTGATAATATTCAGAATATAAATCTAGTTTTAAAAAATATTTTAATCCTGTAAGCCTATTTATAAGCTTATTAATTCTAGATAAAGAATAGTAATTCTTGATTATAATTTTATTTAAGACTTTATATCTATATATAATCTTAATATATTTTCTTTCTTATATATAAAAAGAATTAATACTTTAAAAAATATGATACTTAAATAAATAAAATCTTTTTAAATTAGATCAGCTAATTATTTCTTAAATTTATTTATTTCTATAAAAAAAAGTTTATAAATAGATTTGAATAGTAATTCAAATTCTGAAATGAGTTCAATCTTGTGATCTATAGCTTTTTTAAGTAGTAATTGATTTAGTAAAATTTCTGAAAATATGTCTTTATATTTCTTTTTAATTTCTAATACTTCTGATAAAAGTAACTTTTCTTTAGCTTTTTTTTTTATTTTCAATATTATTAAGATATATAGTAAAAAGTTTTATATCTACTAATAAGTTTATAATTTGCTATCTTGAGATATATAGTATATTAAATTATAATTAGATCCTGATTTTACTTTATTATCAGCTTGAATTTTAATTATCTTTGATCTATAGATAAAAATAATGATATTATTTTTTTAATTTATAGTTAAATTAATATAAAATAATCAAGATTTATCTAGAATAAGATTATATTTTTGCAATTTTAAGACTTGTATATTTATCTTATATATTTTATATATACTTAACTTTAACTTATCTATTTTTACCATAATGATAATAGTAATCTTTTTATTATTAGCAAGTTTAATTATAATTAATACAATCTTCTATAATTTAATTTTATTTTTCTGTAT